TGGAAAAATCAGGATAAGCCAGAATAGGTGGGTTACAAAGAGCTTCTTTACAAAGTTTAAATGCATTGATATAATCTGGATTATTGATATTGATTTTTTCATCTTTACGTAAACATTTTGTGAATGGCTTAGTCAATTGTGCAAATCCTTTAATAAATTTACGATAATAGTTCATAAGGCCTAAAAATGACTGGATTTCTTTAATCGTAGTCGGGAGAGGATATTCTTGAATTACTTTGATTTTATCTGGGTTTGGAAGTATGCCTTGTGGCGTGATGACATGACCTAAGAATGGAACATCTTTTCTCAGGAACTCAGATTTGTCCAGTTGGATTTTTAAATTAAACTGATTCAGTTTTTGGAATATTTTTCGAAGATGCAAAATGTGTTCGTCTAGGGATTTTGAAAAAACAATGATATCATCCATATAGACAAAACAAAAAACGTTGATATATTCTAACAATACAGTATTCATCATACGTTGAAAGGTAGCAGGGGCATTTTTTAACCCAAATGGCATACGGACATATTCATAGTGGCCATTTTCAACAGTAAAAGCCGTTTTTTCTATAGACTCAGGATCCATAGGGATCTGGTGGAACCCTTGTGCCAAATCAATAGTAGAAAAATACATGCTTTTGCCTAAATTTTCCAAAATTTCTTCAATTAGTGGGAGTGGAAATTTATCTTCAATTGTTATTTCATTCAGTTTTCTGAAATCAATAACCATCCTATATTTTTTAACACCGGATGCATCCATTTTCTTAGGAACTATCCAGCAGGGTGATTGATAGGGTGAATTGCTTTGTCGAATGATTCCATCATTCAATAACTTGGAAACTTGATTTTGGATTTCCTTTTTGAGATGATAAGGATATCGATAATTTTTTACATAAATTGGGTCTTCATTTTTTAACCTAATTTTGTGTGCAGTGGCATTACAGGGAGTTAATGGTTCGTTAGGCTTGAAAAATACCTGTTTGAATTGCTTGCAGAGCTTAATAATCTTTTCTTTTTCTTCACTATTCATATGAGACGTACGAATTAAATTTTCAACACGTATATTGGATTTTTCAGTAGAAAATGGAGATTCTTTTTCAATTAGAAAATCATCAAGAGGTTCAGATAAAAATGGGTTGGAAACATCAAGAAGATTTATGTCAATTGGATATTGAATAGCATTATTTTCTACGTTACAGATACATTCAGGAAAATATTCGTCAGAATTTTTGAATTTCAAAGGTGGAATAACAACAGAACCATTATCCAAATTTCGGATAATTAATGATTTTTTCGGGTAACTATACTGAACTGGATTGTTTTCTCGAATTGGCTTAAAAGAAGTGTTATAAGTAATTTTACATTTATCAGTAATAATCTGATGTTTAGTCAAATCAATAGAGCAATTAAGCTTTTGTAAATCATAGAATCCTAATAAGCAGTCATAACGTGAATGCCAAGGAAGAATTAAAAATTCAATTTCAGTTTTATTCTTCCATTCAGAAAATATGGGAATTTTACAGGCATATTGACCTCTAAAATTGGACGTACATGAATTAATTTCAAAAGGATGATCATAAATACGATCTGGAAAATATTTAAAAGCAATTTCTGGATTGATCAGGGAGGATGATGCACCAGTATCGATTAAGATGATAAGATTAAACTGAGAACAAAAAATATACGGAAGGTGGGTTTTTTGATAATTATTTATATCTAAGTCAAATTTTGAGACTGGCTCGTCGAAGGAAAATTTTCTTCGTCATTGTTTTCAAAATAAGATTCATCGGGGATATAGTCTGAATCGAAATCTTGGGTATATTCCTCAGATTCATATTGTGGCGTTCCTGCGAAAGTTTGTTCTTCCTCATTTTCAAGATGAGTAATTTCTTCGACATAATAATGGTTTGGTTTGGGACCTACTTGAAAGGCATTAACTCTAGTGGGCATTTGTTGACGATATGGGTTTTGCTGGGGTTTCGGTGTGCGTGCTGTAGATACAGACATAGGTATAGGATTACTTTTTTGTTGACCTGGAATGGGTTTTTTGGAAAAAACATTCTGTGGTGGTCTGAAAGCTTGAATGTTTGTAGGGTAATGAGGTTTAAAATTTTGTTTAGGTGGTGGTAGTTGCATGGGACCTGTAGGGAAGGTTTGTTGTGGCTCTAGCCAAGTTTGACTATTTTGGGCTCTAAACTGATTGGGCTTTTGAGAAAAATTAAAATTAGACCTTTGGAAATTTTGATTTGAAGCTTGTACTTTATTCTGAGACTGAGGCTGTTGTCGTTTATATAGGCTCGTTCTTAAGAAATTTTTATAATCAACTTGCATTTGCAAATTATCATAATCACGACAATATTGAACACAAGAATCAATTGTAGTAGGATTTTGCTGTCTTACATAAGACCTATATGGTTCATTCAAACCAGAGATAAAGGAGCTCAAAGACTGTCTATCATAGTCTCTCAATTTAAAAGCGATATGATCGGGATTATCATGGTATTCTAAATTTGCAAATTCTTTCAGGCTCTGTACCTTAAATTTAATTTCTTGATAAAAATCTTCATATTTTTGGTTAGGTTTCTGAACTGACGTATATAAGGCGGTGAGAAGAGTTTCTTCATTTCTAGGATCTTTATATTTGGATAATAATAATGATTTTAAATCTGGCCAGGTTCTCGGACTAGTTAGATGCACTAAATCTCTTACTTCGCTTTTCAGCTGAGAAATAACGTATTGGAAAGCATACGAAACAAAAGGTGTATTAACAAATTCTGCAATAAACTTTTCTGAATTATCCAAAAAATAAATTAGATCTCTGTGACCTCCATGATATTCTGGTACCATATACTTAGCTACATTGAATTTAATTTGTAAATCTTGAAGAGACATGGTTGACTGATTAAAATTAAGACGTGAGGGTGTCAAAATAACTTGTCTAACAGGTGTATTTTCGACTACAGATTCAAATTCAGAATCGGACATTAAATATATGCAATTAAAGTCACTAAATAAGTTTACTTATAGATAACTTTTACGAGTATATATAGATGTAAAGCAATAGAGGGCGAAAAAGTTTCGAGAAATAAATGGAAATATCACTGAGTACAGCAAAAATTGTAAATGTTGTTTCTTACGCTACACTGGGCACTAGCAGCTTCATTTGGAGAGATCTGAGATACCTCCTTGGGCCAATACAGCTCCTCCTGGTTGACAGCTTGCCTGCCGTGGATCCAGCACCTCGCTCCTGTCAGTTCCTGTCGTTTTCTCAAGTGTCGTTGCCTGCTCCCAAAATACTTAGCAAGTATTTCGGCCTGGTACTTCGATGGTGATGTGCCTGCTCGGTGTAGCCTTCGAAGTTCTTTGTGATCGACGTCAAAACGATTGAAATCGTACCCGAACACACCGGACGATTTTTTGCACTTTTTCGGTCTCGATTGAGCGATACTCGTGAATCAATACCGCCGATTATCGATTCGGTACGCCGATATCCTGTTCGCAGCGCCAATTAAGAATGTGCAAACAACGAACGACTTTTTAAAAAAGCGACTTTATTTAACAGAAGACGAATGAGTACTGGTCACCTTGGTTTACATGCATCTCTTACTTATAACCTACGCTAGAACAAAGGAATTGAAAAGTGCAAACCTAAGCAACTCTACATATTAGATCATCATCATAGCAGTGCCGTAATTCGTACGGCCTTCTCGAAGCCATGCCTGACAACACCTAACCACAGTGTCTACACTTCTTTGCACTCTAACTGCAATTGCCCGAAAAGAAAGTCCAGCTTCCCGAAGTCCCACTATACGGCCCCTATCAAACTCACTGAGTTGACGAAATCGTACAGGTCTCCGTACTCTAGGCATCGAAACCGATCATAAAGGATGTCAAGAACTAAAATCCGCCAACGTTGATTCTTTACTGCGGCTAAAATATTCATTTTTAGAGCGTTAGTGAATTAAAAAAAAGCAGTATAAAAACCGGAATGTCCAACTGATAAGGCTGAAAATTTTTTCACTTGTTATTTACAGTAAGATAAATACATTCACCAACTTTTATTAAAATAAAACCATTTAAACTGGGTGTTCGGATTTATATGTCACTTAGTATAGAATCGGAAACGAAACGGTGCCAAAGTGCTTAGAGTTGAACTTAGAAAAAACCGTCAGCAAGATCCAAAGGTAAAGCAGCACTTGCGGAGTTGGACCCCACGATTGGATGGAAATCAAATGTCGGCATTGTTGTGAAGGTGAACTCTAAAAAACGTCAAAAAAAACTGACAAGAAGTCATCCTGCAGACTACATAGTTTTTAGTGTGGAAATAGTTCATTCCACGTTTGCTCGCTATTATCGCTGTGAACGTCATCAACAGCGTCCATCAATGGAGGAACGACTCAACGACACGTTCAAGCATGAATTGTTGGTTGCAGAAAGCCAAGTAGCGTTTATCCCTGAGAAGATGTGACAGGCAGAAAGTTGGTTGTGTAGCAAGATCGCATCTGGGTGATTATGTGTATTAGTCTGCATGTGTATAAAATCAGTGAGAAAATGAAGTATATCTATTAGCTGTGCCCGAAACATAAGCTTGTTACATGATAGAGAACTGCAAAGATCGCTGACGTATAAGGAAAACGATAGGAGACCCAAATTGAAACCTTACGGTACACCACTACTTGAAATGTATGTATAATAACTAAATCCATTATGGAACACATATTGAGTTCTCAAGCCTAGATAAGACTTGAGAAGATCCACGTGAGTTTTGTTGAATCCCATGTATACAATTTTGTGTATAATTAGGTGCTGGTCAATTTTGTCAAACGCTTTTGTAAAATAGCTGCCACAATAGTAACCGAATATTTATACAAAGCATTGCTCGCTTAGATGCTCCATCAGGCTATCATAACAAAAAATCAGTAATAAGGAACCTCTGTTAACGTTATTTTCAAAAATACATGAAAGACGAAACAAAAAGGCACTAAATAATGTTCACTCACCCGACGAGTCCATGTTCATACTACGACATCGGACGCTGAAATGCACCTACAGAATTACTTAACAGATTTTTCAACGATATCTTTTTTATCTTGAGAACCTATTGTTATCATAAAATCAAAACATACAATCGATTGTACTTTACAGCTTATCAATATGAGCTACGAACTAGATTCAATACTCATTTCGTACTTGATGTTCCACAAATCATACAGGCTTTGTAGTTCAGGAAATGCCGCTATAACTTCAGTCATGACACAACATACATGAATGTAAAACTACGTTATGTATAGATATTTATCTTGTTATCTATGTAATAAAGGGTTATGATAAATAGCTCTGGACGTCAACGTCGCCTTAATCCCTGATTTGTCAATAATCGCTTCATAATATAGAGATCCAAGTCAGGTATAATCCCACGTATCTATAGCATGATGATAAGGCTTTTTCATAGGGACAATGGCTTTCCTATAGGAAATGTTTTACACAGGGCATCCTCAAACTTAGGATAATCGAGATATTGGGTTCGGAAAACTCTAAGCTAAATGGGTTAATCTAGTTCATAAACTAGTCGCATTTGAAAAACCGAAATTGGCACATTCCTAGAACAATAACGTAAATGTCGATTTGATGTTAGTTTACTGTGAACGTCGCACATAGGGGTATTTGATCGATCTAAAGTGGATTTTACGAAATTTGACAGACTTGTTTGAAATCGACTGCATACACTACAGAAAACTCCAGAGAATAATATCTAGCCCTTTCCGTTCTGTTTTTATGCGTGCTATACTATCAACTTAAACTGCAACTTGAACAAACAATCTAGTGTGCGCTTCTGTACTAAGCGTCTTCCTAAAAAGGTCAGGTGTCAGACAGAATATTAACCTTCTTACTATTCGGCATTATTCGTCAGAGCGGTCCGATGGACCTTTGCTCTTAGTTAAAAGTCTCGTCGGTCTGTTAGTCTGTCAGGTCTGTCTACCCAGATACCAAACATGTTTAAGGGGAAAAGGGAAAGAAGGAAAGAAATGAAGGAACAAATAGAGCAAAGAAAAGAAGTAAATCATCTGAAATAGCTTAAGCATTATTGCTTTGACTACTCGAATTATTTTGTAACTCCAAAAAATAATTTTGATCGGTTTTGTATACTGAAATAATGTTGGCTGGTCTGAATTTACAATTTAATTTTGATCACAGTGCGAGGCGCGGTCTGGAATGTTTGCGAACTTGCTCGACTGTGTGGTCTACTGTATCACGCAACAGAGGGTTGCTGTGCGATTCCGCTTGATGATAACGCCGCTGCGCCTGTTGTTTTATGTAATGCCTTAGATATGGGATATCAAGATCTCTGGGAATAGTCTCATTTGACACGTACCAAAGGGCGTTAGTAATTGTGCGTAGGGTTCTGTTTTGCAGGACTTGCAGTCTCTGCATGTGCGTGTTGGCAAGAAAACACCAAGCCGGGCATGCGTAGGTGATTGCGGGACTTATGACCACTTTATACAACCGAATCTTGTTGACCAAACTTAATTTTGAATTTCTGCACAACAAAGGATACAGATGCCGAAAGGTAATTTGGAATTTTGTTTTCGAAATATAAGTATGTTTCTGCCAGGTCAATGATGACTTCAAGATATCTGATATATTGCTCCCATGATATCTCTGATGGGGCACCGCGACGTTTTTTAGTATAATAGATTGCCTGCGTTTTCGAAGTATTAATTTTGATCAACCACCGATCCGCTCACTCCAATACTTCCTTCACCAGCTGCTAAATTTCCTGCATAACTACAGCAGGTTGAGATACAAGGTTTGTAAATTAAGAGATGAGATTGATCTTTTTGATAATTTTTTTATTCAAATATAGTTACGGTTCTTGGTAGTTACGTCATCAACGCCATATGAAATAAGTAAACAGATACAGCGCATCTGCTACTCTCTCCAGTACGCATGAAGTAGGTAACAGGGGACTGTTGTCTTCATACTCTTCCAGGAAATGCTCTAATAAATTTGGCCTTCTCCATTGATTGTACTTCCGGGCATTGTACAATTTTATATTGAAGATTGGTAATAGAAGAACCGAAATTCCACGCCGATGTCAAGTAAGTTGTCACTATAACAAATATAATTGAAGGGCTCTCATACGTAACGACAAAGTTTTCGAGATCGAGACACCTAACTAAAAAACGTATGTCTTTGAGCTTAATAAGAGGTTTCTGGTGATCTTACTTTGACCCGCCAGGAACGGTGATTACAACTATAGTCAAAGTCACGAAAGATAACTATTACGTCGTCAAGTCATGTTTGGCTGTCAGAGCGATCCGTGGGATCTTAGCTCTTGAGTCACAGTGTCAGTTTGTAAGTCTGTCAGGTCTGGTAACCCAGAAACCAGACAATTTTAAGGGAAAAAGGAAAGGCGAGAAGGAAGAACGAGAGCAAAGGGGAAGAAGAGACCCTTTTAGGCTAGGCAGCGATTATTTATTGTTAAAAACACTTCACAGATTTTGATATGGTCTAAAAATATTCGATCTTTTCTAAAGGTTTGTCAAAATGCTCCAATTTTGGTTGTTCTAAGTTCACCAATTAATTTTGATTACAGTGCGAGCTGCGGCCTTTTGTGCTTGCGAACTTGCTCGACTGTGTAGTCCACTGACTCACGCAACAAAGGGTTGCTGTGCGATTCCGCTAGGCTATAGCGCCGCTGCGCGTGTTGCTTAATCTAGTCCTTTAGGTAAGGGACATCGAGGTCTCTATGTAGAGTTTCGTTAGGGACATACTGCTTTGCAGAACCTGCAGATTTCGCGTGTGTGTTTTAGCAATAAAACACCAAGCCGCACATGCGTAAGTCATTGCTGGTCTTATAGAGTCAAATCTTGTTAATCAAACTTAATTTTGAACGTTTACATAATAATGGGTAAAGCTGTCGAAACGTGATTTGGAATTTAGTTTTTAGCGCTTCTATATGGTTCCGCCAAGTCATCCCCTTGTCCAAAATGACACCAAAATACTTAGCGGAGGATTCCCATGGTATACGAAGTCCATTCATTAAAACTTCAGACGGAATGCCGCAACGTCTTTTTGTACAGTAGATTGCCTGCGTTTTCGAATGGTTAATTTTAATTACCCACCGATCCGCCCAATCTAATACTTTCTCCACCGCACGTTGCAACCTGTTATGGACTGGGTGACCAGACCACGACTGAGCCACCAATGCAGTATCGTCAGCATAGAGATAGACTTCACAGTTGCTGAGACTAGGGACGTCATCGATGTACAGTGAGTAAAGGATAGGTCTAAGGACCAAACCCTGAGGGACGCCGGCTGTAATCAGCCGTGTTGTCGACAGGACATTATCAATTTTGATCCGAAATTTCCTACCTTCAAGGAAGGATTTTAGTAGTTTTAGAAGGGCTTCCCTTTTGGATTAGTTTATACAGGAAGCCCGCGTGCCACACCTTGTCAAATGCTTTTGAGACATCCAAAAGCAAGATGCTAGTACTTTCGTTAAAGGTAAATCCTCTGGGTACTCATTCCACCAGCCTAACCGCCGGTAACTCAATACTATGTTCAGACCTAAAACCGAATTGCACGTCAGGAATCACTTGGTGATCTGACGAGAAATTCTCAAGGTAACGTAGAATCACTTTTTCAGCGAGCTTAGACGGACGATAATCCTGGGAAAATGTCTAACCCACCTTCTTTGGAATCATGATGACCTCAGCAGTCTTCCACCCAGCAGGGAAGTACTGGATTTTGAGCGTCGCATTGATTATTGTCACCAAGTATGTCAGGGCTTTCGGCGAGAGCAGCTTCAACGCCTTGTTGGTGATTTGATCCTCCCCAGGTGCTTTGCGCACTTTAAGGTCTTTAATATGACCTTGAATCTCTGCTGGTGTGCAATGCGGGATCTCGAGAGATGCCGCTGATGTGCTAAGTAGATCTTCGGTTGAAGAAGCTTCCGAAGAAGAATCTTCTGATGAAGAAAAATCACCAACGGTAGCGCGACTGTCACTGACGCCGTTGGACCCAAAATATCTCCTGACAGATCTTACGATGGGTTGCTCCTCGTCGAGGTCATTATCAAGATCATAGTTGGGAGAGAACTATCTTTCTGTGGCATCGGCGAAAACCTCAACCTTTTCTTCTGTCCTGAAGACAATGCCTCCAGGACCGTGGATGTGTGGGATTTGTTCACGCTTTCCGTTTTTGAGCGACTTCGCCACCTTCCAGAGAGGAATTCTCGAGTCAAGCATCCCCGCCAGAAAGTCGTTCCATTGCTCATAGCGGAATTCATGAAGCACATTTCTTACTTCGTGAACAAGATTCGTCGCTCTGCGAATGTCATCAGGATGACAAGACCTTTTCGCTTGCTTAATTGCAGCTCTTTTATCAGAAATTTTCTGACGAATGCCTGATGGCAGAAAAGGTCTGCCGTGTCGCTGCACGGAAAGTACAGCTGCACGCTGCAGAGCTTGCTGAACAAAACTTGTCCACTCTGCTTGAGCCGTATCTGTACCGTTCTCATCATCTATGATCGGAATATTGGGGAACTCTCTGAGGAACGACTTGTATAGCTCCCAATCAATGCTTTTCCTTTGAGGGGTTTCATCTCCCAAGATCTGCTCATTACCCACTTCCAAAGGAAGATGATCGCTTGAGATATCATACATGATTCGAGAAGTGATTACCGTATCTACAGCTTTTGGACAATGCAGAATCAAGAAACCCTGGGTCAGTTTCCATAGTAAGTTATCTAAGTTATCTCGCTTTTTGTCTCAAAAATTTTCCGGATCGAAATTACGGGACAGCTGCTATCAGTGCTCTATACAGGGCGATTATGACTATTACGTCATACCATAAATTGTACTGAAGTAATCAATGAACGTACGTCGATGCTAAAATCACAATCTCAGGAACATAATGACAACAAATTTATATTATGATTTTGCGACGTTAGGTTATTTCACTGATTTTTTTTATTTTCATTTTATTTCATGGTTTTGAGTGATACCATAATAATTTTAGTGAGGAGTTTTTGTTTTGAAAAAAACAGTTATGGGTAGAATACCTTGAGACAAGAACACCAAAGACCGAAGTATTATTCGAAAACAACCTAACCTGCTTTAACATAACCTGACTATTCGTCTTTCAAATATGATCGATTATGCAACATGAAAATATCATCTATCATTGTCGGATACATGCAAATTAGCAATACAGTTTGTTTAGACAATAAAATTCTGTTTATCTCTGTCTAACACATCTGAAACTTCATTAAGAATATTCACAAATCGGTGTCGTTTGTCTTTACTACAGACTAAAATGATGACGTAATCGT